TATAGATATAGATATAGATATAGATATAGATATAGATATAGATATAGATATAGATATAGATATAGATATATGACACATAGAGCTGACTGTGAGCCAAGGTGCAGAGAAAGTGGATCTGCAGGCCGCCAGGGGTTAGCAGCCGTCTAGCTAAACTCCTCGTGCTGGTTCTGGGGGCTGCATATCCCGACTGGGGCACCCTGCTCAAGGTGGCAGAGCTGGGACCAGACACCTGACAGCTCTCACGCCCCATGGTGACAGCCCTTCCAGAAACCTCCTATTGCCAGCCACTGAGAGCTGGCGTAGGGCTCCCTGGAGGGCTGGGGTCAAGGCCAGTGAGGAGCCCTGGCTAGGGGTCTCGCTCACGAAGCCCAAATGCTTGCAGTGCCCATGTGCCACGTGCTGGGAGGTGGCAAGAGGGCATCACGTGAGCCTGGAGAGGACAGGACCCTCCTCCCTCTCCTGCCTTCTTCCCCTGTGCTCGCCGCTGGACTGTGCACCCCGCTGTCCCGTGTGCATGTGCGTGTGCCAGGGCCATGTAGATGTTCTCAAGTCTCCGTGTCTGTCGTTCCTTTTCCATTGTAGGCAAGCAGCAGGATGGGGCGATGGAGAGTAGCCAGACCAAAGGTAACGCGCGCCCTGCGCTCAGGATGGGGTGGCGGACGGAGGGCACGACTCGGGGTGGGGGGGCTGCCCGCCTCAGTTGCAGGAGCAGCACCTGGACACCAGGTGAGTGGGGCAGGGCGGCCCCCTGCAGACCCCGCCAGGAGTGTGCAAGGATCACCTTTGAGCTGGCATTCTGGTGAGGAAACTGAGGCTCAGACAGGGTGACTTGCCCAACGCCTGATCAGGCCCGTGGGTTTCCCAGTTCAGCTGCCTTTCTTTTGGGCAGGCATCCAAGGGGCCGAGGCCCACTCTCCTCTCAGCCCACATGCCGGTTGGGAGCCAAACCTCCATGGCTGGGATGAAGGCTTATCCGTGGTCACTCATAGGCGCTGGGGACCCAAAGTTGGATAAAGCACCATCCCAGTCCTCAGGAAGGTCACCGTCCAGATAGAGGGACCAGGGGCTGTATAAAGTGTCGCATGGGCCTGGCCAGTGTGGCTCAGTGGTTGAACATTGACCTTTGAACCAGGAGATCAAGGGTTCGATTCCTGGTCAGGGCACATGCCTGGGTTTCAGGCTCAATCCCCAGTGTGGGGCGTGCAGGAGGCAGCCGATCAATGATTCTCTCTCATCACTGATGTTTTCTATCTCTGTCTCCCTCTCCCTTCCTCTCTGAAATCAATAAAAAAAATATATTTAAAGTGCAGCGTTGGACCCAGGGACCAAGACAGGATCAGACAAGCAAACAAGAATTCAGAGCATAGCTGGGGTTGGGAGGGCATTTGGGACAGGGTGACAGCCCGGTGGCTAGGGTCCAGGACTGGGGCAGGGAGTGACAGTCAGTGGGGCATGAGGCTATAGTGGCCCAGCTGGGTGGGGCCTTGAGTGTTGCTGAGGCCATGGGCTCTGGCCTGAGGCTCAGGAAAGAAGAAGCCATGGCTGAGTGGTCTCAGACAGCCAAGGAAGAAGGGATGGGTGGGAAGACCGGAAGCAACAGGGAGCATCTGACACAGCGAAGTGGCAGGAGGTGTTCAGAGGCGGTGTTAGGAGCACCCAGAGCCCCATTGAGTGGGGACAAGAGCAGTGAAGTGGGAAGATGAGTGGCAGGGTTGAGTGCCCCCTCTGGGTCACTTGAGGCAGTGCAGCTGGAGACCCTCAGGGCACAGAGTATGTGAGGCGATAGAGGTGATGGAGGCAGGGTAGGGGACATAGCACCACCATCACTACATCAGGGGCAGCAGGGCCACTGGGGGAGTGTTCCAGAGAGAAGGCAAGGAGGTGGCTGGAGGAGAGGAACAAAAGAGTAGTTCCATGGAGAGAGGGGTAGAAGGCCCAAGGCCCAGGGCAGCCCATACACGCAGCAGCCTCCGGCAGCCAGGGAACGGGCTGAGAGCATGCGTGGTGGTCTGGGTCCTTGCTGGAAGGTGGGGGGCGGGGGCTGGCAAGAAAAGAAACAGCCTGAGCAGGGAGCAGGAGAGGAGCATGCAGGGGCTCCTGGGCCCCCCTGAGCAGAGTGGGGAGGGGGCTTGGACACCGGTGGGCCAATGAGTCAGTCAGCTCAGGGTTCTGGAATGTTCCTTGGGCCCCAGGCCTCTGCTCTCGGGCATTGAGATTTTGGGGTGTTACAGGACTTGCCGCCCTGTCTGTGTGCCCAAGTTACTTGTGCTTACGTCTGTCCTCTGTCCCCTGTGAGACCTCAAGGGAACCATCTCCATCCCAGCCAGGAGGGCCTGGGCTGCCATGTCTTTCCCTGTGAAAGCCCCCTGTAGCTGTCACCCCAGCAGCCAGGCCCTAACCTTGGCTGTGGGGTTCTTCTGTGTGCAGCCAAGAAGCAGGATGGGGCAGTTGCCATGGAAATGCAGCCGCTGAAGAGCGCGGAGGGCGGGGAGATGGAGGAGCGGGAGAAGAAGAAAGCCAGCGTGCCCAAGAAGGAGAAGTCGGTCCTGCAGGGCAAGCTCACCAAACTGGCCGTGCAGATCGGGAAAGCAGGTGGGGGCTGCAGAGCGGCGGCCTGGGGCCCTGTTGGGGAGGGGGACACCAGAGCCATGGACAGCAAGTGGGAAACGGGTGTGGCAGGTGGGGTGAGCCAGACAGTAAGGGGACAGGCCGGGGGGTGGGGGTGATGGCCATTAGGGCCTGGTCCAGCCCTGTTCTGGCGAGCACAGATTCTAAACGCGCCATAAGGCCTGGGGCAGGGAGCACCTCCCCCAACTCAGCTCAGCTCAGGTTGGCATCAGCTGCAGCGTCCCTTACTCCTTCCCTTTTGCTCTCTCCCTTCCTTGCCCCTCCCTGCCAATCCCCAATCTCACCCCCACCCTCTGTGGCCTCTTGTGGCCGGGCAGGGCTGGTGATGTCCGCCATCACCGTCATCATCCTGGTCCTCTACTTCGTGATTGAGAACTTCGTGTTGGAAGGCCGAGTGTGGATGGCAGAGTGCACGCCGGTCTATGTGCAGTACTTCGTCAAGTTCTTCATCATCGGCGTCACTGTGCTGGTTGTGGCTGTCCCAGAGGGCCTGCCTCTTGCTGTCACCATCTCCTTAGCTTACTCTGTCAAGGTAATAATATGAAACACAGTCGTTGAACTAAGAACCCCGTGAGACCAGGATACAAACCCAAAACTGGGCTGTGAAGCCAGTCGGCATGCTGGACGCAGGGAGGACTGGAGAGAGTTTGGGATCCATCCCTCGGGGGCAGAGCAGGGAGGCTAAGTTGGGACACGGAGCCGAACTTGGCCATCCTTCCCCACCTGGCTTCCTGGGCGCAGTGACACGAGCCAGAAAGCAGGCGAGCAGTGGGATAGACCTGGCATCTACAGGGTGAGAGCAGGGGGCACAGAGGGACCAGGGAGTTGAGGGAATTGGCGCCACTTGCAGAAGTGAGGGGTGGGGGATGATCAGGAGAGATCCCACTGGGAGACAGTGGGTGGCGCAGGGCAGAGATTGGGGGAAAGCTGCAGGGCCAGCACATGACTTGAGAGGGCATGTGGGCAGGGCAGCAGGGAGGCCCCGAGTGAGCTCTGGGGAGAGCAGCTACCAGAGCCGGCCTCTCAGCCCGCCCAACAGGGTCCTTAGGCCGCACCGTAGGTCTGACCGCCACCCTGCAGCTACTGCAAGCTGTGCCTTGGGTGCTGCTATCAGCCTCCAGTGTGTTAGTGCCACGTGGAGAGCTGGTGGGGCAGACCAGGATGTCTGTGCCCTTTCCAGAAAATGATGAAGGACAACAACCTGGTCCGACACCTGGACGCCTGTGAGACGATGGGCAACGCCACAGCCATCTGCTCAGACAAGACGGGCACACTCACCACCAACCGTATGACCGTGGTCCAGTCCTACCTCGGGGACACCCACTACAAAGAGATTCCGGCCCCCACCGCCCTGACCCCCAAGATCCTCGACCTCCTGGTCCACGCCATCTCCATCAACAGTGCCTACACCACCAAAATACTAGTGAGCCAAGAGCAGGGCTGGGACAAGACAAGGGGTCCGGGGCTCACTGTGCTCTCTGGAGAACTTTTTTTTTTTTAATTGATTTCAGAGAGGAAGGGAGGGGGAGAGAGAGAAACATCCATGATGAGAGAGAATCATTGATCGGCTGCCTCCTGTACACCCCCTACTGGGGATCGAGCCTGCAACCCAGGCATGTGCCCTGACCAGGAATCAAACTGTGACCTCCTGGTTCATGGGTCAGTACTCAACCACTGACCCATACCAGCCGGGTTCTTGAGAACTTTGGACCAGAGCTACAATAGTCTCTGGGGTGGTGGTCACCTTTTCCTTGTCCCTGGTCCCAGTACTCCTGCCCTCGCTGCTTACTCTGGAAACCCCTTCCAAGCCCAGCGAGTGGTGCGAAACCTGCCCATCTAGTCCACCCCGGAGGCACGCTTCGGCTCACTGCCACCACACCCTAAAGACGCGGTGACTGTGGCCGTGTTGGGGCCCCAGGGGGAGCCAGGAGGGTGGATGTGGGCCCCCAGTGCCATGCTGCTTTGCCTCACCTCACAGCCTCCAGAGAAGGAAGGTGCCCTCCCGCGCCAAGTGGGCAACAAGACAGAATGCGCTCTGCTGGGCTTCGTCCTGGACCTGAAGCGGGACGTCCAGCCTGTGCGGGAACAGATTCCGGAAGACAAGCTTTACAAAGTGTACACCTTCAAC